TTGGCCTGATTTACTCAATAATTACTCCTTTATTATAAATAATAGAAAAAAATGGTTCAGGACTTTTCGACTCAGTTTTATTCCTTCTACCTGCCTACGAGAGATTGTACGGCAATTCTGGGACACCCTGTATATTGGCTCATTGTGATCCTAAACGAATTATTAAAGTGTTGAATAACAGAATTAATAACTTCTTGTGAACTACTGGTTATTAGACCATCATTAACATATAAAGCTAAATAAACTATCGATTTCTTAACATGACCAACAAAAATACATTCGTTCGCATTTGTCGCCTTAACATTAAATTGTCTTAAAAATTCTCGAAACCTTTTATTCCAGCACCTGGGCAATTGTTTAAGCCCATATAAGGCTTTGTTCAAGCATACCGAGCGTTTTATTTCAGTGGCTCCTCTATTTCCTGCTTCCACAATGATTCTCTCAGGAGTCTTCATGTAGACCGGTTTGTTCAGTTCCGCATAGAGAAAGGCTGTATGTACATTGCAGTGAGCTACTTTCAAATCCTGTTCAGCCACAATAGCCAGCAGCTCTCTCAAAGAGTCAAATCGAACTACGGGAGAGAAAGTTTCATTAAAATCAATTCCCTTTTCTTGTATAAACCTCGAGCACACAACCGAGGTTTAAAACGAACAATTTTCTCTTCTATATCATTAATAACTTTAAACACCCATTTATAGTCTTCATGCCCGGTTTTCTCGTGGATAATTATTCACGTATTATTGTTTTGATGAGCTTTTAATTCCTCCTTGATAGCTTGTTGCCATTAAAAGGCCTCGTCGCAACTTACTGCTTCATAATACGTGTGCGGAGCAACATACTCACCCACATTGAGTTTGAATCTGCTTGGTCTTTTAATACCTGTCTTTTCCCAAAATATAGGCCCTGACCTAATAGCCTTTGAAGTGCTGAACACTTCGACTGTGGTTTCTTCGTTTTTTTCTTCATTCTCTGAAGCTACCTATCGACACTGAAACTACTTCTTTTCCTGACTCACTGTCTGCTCGTTATGGTTTATCTTCGTTCTTAGACAGTTTAATCACACCGTCTTGCAAGTCATCTTTTTCTACAGCTTCATGTTCATAGTTATCATTAAAAATCTCTTGAAACATTCACGCGTTTTGTTACTGGATCATAAACTCTGTAATTTCTTGATTCATTTTTGTAACTAATAACACTTTCTTTGAATGAGAATCAAGTTTCTTTGTATGTTGTTTCGAGATATGCATAAATGCTTCGAAACCAAACACTCGAATATGTTTTAGACGTGGTTTCTTGCCAAACTATTTCTCGTAAGGCGTTATATTGTTATTGGAGTCCGACGCATCTGTTCTATTCAATACATATACCGCCGTGTTCACGGCTTTGCTCCACAGATTTAAGGATAAACTCTTAAGAGGATGCTGAACCGTCCTGATTTATCATTTCGTATTTCCAACTTTTTGTGAAAACTATGAATCGGAATAAAAAATGCTTCTCCAGAAATAAAGAAAATATAGTAAAGAATGGGATAAAGCCTAAAAATTTAAGAAAAACAAAAAAAAGTTTTTAGACTGTTATTACAAAAACTACATTTTTACTTTATATGCAAAATTAGCCATATAAATCCAAATAAAAATACCTTTATCCCAAACTAGAAACATAGACGAATATTTTGAGTGCTTCAAAAAAAGATTTTGAAGCCTTGCGAGACAAGAAAACTTGGAAATACGATTAGTACAATTTTAGCAGAAGCGTCAGAGAGAAACATATGTCTATCCTTGGCTTTCTCATGTCATCTATCCTTGTTTTGGTTTGATTCGGTCCCGAGAGATGGCGCCACCTACCCGATAGCATAGCGGTTGAGTAGCAGCTGAGCGAACTTTTGCCAGCGGGTTCAGCATCCTCTTAAATTGCATAAATCATGGTATGGGCACTTTTCACAACAGATTGTCGCGCTCTACCTTCCCATTTTGTTGGGGGGTATACGGCGCAGTTCACACTCTTCGTATTCTACAAGATTTTAAGTAACTGTCTATCCGTTTATTGCAAAATTCGCGGCCGTTATCTGATCTTAACACTTTTAACGACTGTCCAAATTTATTTTTAGTTATTTGTTCATTATTCTTTGAAACACTCAAACACATCAGACTTATACTGTAGCATGTACACATGTCAAAAATTCGTAGCTCCATCTTTGAACAAAAAAAAAACTTCAAACCTCCAAGCGAGCCCACCAACATGAAATCACACACATCTGCATTACCATTTTATCTGCATTACCATTTCATCTGGTTTACTGTTATTTTGTCACTATGTTTGTTAAATGGCTGTCGGTGTGACTTTCTGAGGTGGCATGCTTTACAAAAGAAGTGTTTCACGTTTGGTAATTTTATTTCAACTGCCGCATTTTGTTTCACCAAGTTTCTCAAAGTTTGCTTGTTTATGTGTCAAAGTTTCTCGTGTCAAAGTTTTAAACTAGCACTTGCGGTGTTTGCTTTACCCACAAGGTTCGGCGGAATAACTCGAAAGAACATTCAATACAGTTCATTGTCTTGCTTTACTCCAGTTGCAATGACTTTGCTATCGTTCATAACATTCACTCGTTTTTTAAACTGCACAGAAAAACTTTTTGATGTACACAAAACTCCAAACGAGAAAAGATTCTTTTTAATGTTCGGCACGTATAACACTTTCTCAATACAGGCTGTTTTCCACGAGTCATCAACAAACTTCTCTATCAATATAGTTCCTTCGCCACCAGAGATATGCAAAATAGGTATTCAAACCTATTTGAAATAGAAAATGCAAACTAGGTAAAACTTTTCTATTTGAAAATGCAAAATACAAAATGGGTTTTAGATACCCATTTAAAATAGGAAATGGAAAATAGGCATTTTTAACATGCTTTTTCAAATAAAAATGGATTTTTTAATATTTATATTTTTATATTTATTTATATTAAAAGTTTTTATTCTTATTATTTATACATATTTCTTATTATTATATCTTATAGTTAAAAACTTATTTCTATAGTATAAAAACTTAAACTTAAAAAAGATATTTGCTTCCATCGTTTCAAGACATTCAGTTGTTCTTTTAAAATGACATTTTGCTCTTTAGAAGTAGAACGTGATGCTTTTAAAAGAACACGTTTTTCAAAAAGAGAATCCCCTATTTTCCTTCTGTGAGGTCTCATAATTAATCCTCTATACGAAAAAGGCGTTCTACTGGCGCTGAGCTCGGAAGACACGTATTATATTTGAAAAAAAGTTTTTTGACTGTTAACCCAGACGGCACAATGATGTATTTAAGATGTCTTGAAGATATCTCACAGAGACTTTGAATGTGCAAAAGATATCTCGTTGAGACAATTTCGAACGTGTAATGATATTCAAATGATATCTCAGGGATATGCCTGAGACTGCTAATGTCCACATCAAAAACATGCAAAAGATATCTCTCTTGCAAAAGTTTTAAAAATGATATCTGGTTGATCGGTATATAGTACGAGTGACTTCAAATTATAGTTTGGTACACTTTGGTATATGTACCCTATGATCGCCAAAAATTGCCTTTTACGGAACGTTTATGTATATCATACTCAGGATGCAATATGTATAGGACATATAATCAAACATTCCAGAAATATCTTGTGCATTTGATAGTGATATTTAGTTTCAGATANACCTGCATTATGTNATGACATGATACTTAGCTCTAGGAAATAATTCATNAAAAGTGTTAAAATACTGAGATAAAACGACATTTTATTCACAAAATGCAGTNTAGCAAAATTTAAAATTATGGTAACATTTTTACCCATATTGGATCCACCACTGCAGACATGTTGCTAATGATAACTTNTCAAGGAACACATTAAACAACTTAGTTTACATACAGGTACNAGTTGAGATCACTTAAGAAATAAAATNAATTGCAACGTAATAAATTGCACAGTAGAGACTCAAACACAATACTCCTACATATGAAATGCACTCCAGTTGCCTTTGTGGNTTCAAAATTCACTCAGTTGATCATGCTATTCTGAAGCCTATTCAGTTGCATTCAGGTTCAAATGCAACATAGTANGTTTTAGAGTGAAAATACAATTAAGTGTGTTTTTAAGTTGCAGCAGCTACAACTGGAGTGTATCTGAGATACAGTAAAAATCAAATAATCATTTAAAAACTGCTAGCTACTTAGCAATAACCTGCTGAGTACATTTAAGATATAAAAATCAAATAATCATTAAAATAAAATGCTCACTACTCAGCAGCAACCTGAGTGTATTTAAGATACAAAAATATGTATGATATATATGAGATATAAAAATCAAATAATCATAAAGATTACTCAGCAGCAACCTGCTGTATGATTCTACAGCTAATTATAATCCTCTTCAGATAAAGATACATCACTTTCACCTGAGCCTTCATCATNCCCACTGTTAGCATAATCATTATCACCGCTTGAGTGATTATCACTGTCGCTCTGTTCTTCTGATTCCATAACTCTAAAAAATATCAGGAAATATATCACAACATATTAATTTGTGGCACAAAAATTTCTATACATTAAATACATGGAGTCAANAGTCACTTTACCTACCTCTTAGATTTTGTTATCTGTTGACGCAGCCAATCACATGTTGATTTTTGAATGTCTGCATTAGAAGCATCAACATAAGGGAAAGTGTTCCGTACTTTGGTAGAACGAACAGAAGCTACAACAAAGGAAATTAACATAAGTTAATNATTAACTTTTCCAATTACTATTAATTTATTAAACAATTAATAAAGAATCTTCAAGCTCTGAATAAGAATAATCTAATAAGAAATATGAAGTACCCTGATAGCCACCTGTCTGTGGGTTTGCTGTCATGTTGCCAAAAACAGGAGCGCTTAAGGTTTTAGCAAACTTAGAACAAGGTGAGTCAGGTATTTGTCTTTGGTTCGACATCACACGTATTCAACATGTATTGCCGACAACTTGCCGTGTATTTGCTGTCAACGATTTATCACTAACATAAAGAGCAACATGACAACAAGTTGCCAACAACACGTGTCGAGTCATAAATTTCAGCAAAAATGCAACAACATGTCGAGAACAGATGAATATGTTCTATTCATCCGTTTGCCTTTGACCAATTTTT